CTGATACGTCGCAACCCAATGACGCCACCCTCACGGCGAGGACGAGCTCGTTATGGGAGGTCACCTCAGAGGCGTCGAGCGGCACCGTTACAGCGGTCTCGCCGGGGCATTGCCTGGACGCCGCGCCGGACCCGGGGAGTGCGCATCTGAAAACGCGACCATCTCAGGCGGCCACACTCCCTCAGGCGGCCACACTCCCTCAGGCGGCCACACTCCCTCAGACGGGAACGCCCCCTCAGGCGGCGTCTGCACGGGCAGCGAGCGCGGCGAGGCGGCGCAATTTTATGGTCGCGGCGACCTGAGCCCGACACGAGTTCAGCTCGTGAGGCCCGCACCGCTTGTAGACATGGTCACAGTGCTGAATTATGCATGCACGGCGCCCGAGCACGACCGCTGAGCCTCGGGCCGGTGGAGATGCCTCTCATGCGGACGCGGCGTGTACCGCCGGCTGTGAGACCACAGCAACACTCCCGTGTAGCGTGCCGCTGAGGTCGGCCGTCGAGTCTCCCACACTGAGTGTCGGAGGTGCGCTGCCGCTTCAGGGTCAAACGATCTTCGCCAGACGAGAGGGAAATGGGATGCGGAGCGAGGAGAGGCAGCTATGGCTCATAAGGTCAGCCCCTTTTAAAGCAGCTGAGACATGTTTGGATGTGGGAGAATAGTTCGGGCATATGGGTCCGCTCGATGTAGCGGGAGGACAGGGCAGGGCTGTGTCCAAACCATCTCTTACTCACCTCTTACCGGACGGCCGTCTCCATGACCAGCTGCCGCCTCTAACCGGCTGTCCCCTCTGATCAGCTGCCACCCGACCAGCTATCGACTCTGACCAGCTTCTCCCTCTAACTGGCTGCCCCCTCTGATCAGCTGCCGTCTCTGACTAGATGCTACCTCTGACCAGCTGTCATCTCTGGCCAGCTGCCACCTCTGGTCAGCTGCCACCTCTTACCAGCTGTCCCCTCTGACCAGCTGTCCCCTCTGACAAGCTGCCCGTTCTGACCAGCTTTCCGCTCTAACCAGCTGTCACCTCTGACCAGCTGCCCCCTCTGACCAGCTGTCTTCTCTGACCAGCTGCCCGCTCCGACCAGCTGCTACCTCTGACCAGCTGCCCCTCTGACCAGCTGCCCTCTCTGACCACCTGCCACCTCTGACCAGCTGCCACCTTTGACCAGTTGCCACCTCTGACAGCAGCGCCCCGGTGGCGGGTGGCGCGGTCACGCCTGACACCTGCCTGGCCGCGTGCGAGATGCCGTCACGGTCGCCGCGCGGCCGCCCGGAACGGCGCCGACTCTCGCTGACTCACCAAGCAGCGACGCAGCGAAGCGACTCCCTGAGTCACTGAAAAGCGCGAGGGTCTACCGTCCCGACCGGGCGAGCGACTACGGACGAGAATGGCTCCCCTCGCACGCCGGTCTTTGTCATCGACGGTGTGGGCGTGAAGTAAAAACAAGAGGCGTTATATCGGAGCGTTGTGGTTTAATCAGTGCCTTGTTGATGTTGCGTCCGAGGCGGCATTTGCGAGAGACGACTGATTATAGCGCAGTGTTAACTGCCGCGCTGTTTGGGTCAGCCGGCGGTGCTTTACACCCAGGCTGGATCAGCAGCCGCCGACTGGCGGCCGCAAGGTCACGCAAGGTCGGGACTCGAGAGCAGACGGCGTTCAAGGCCGTGGAACGTTCGTCAAAACAGTTCAGCTCCGTTCGCCAGCTGACGTCACTGGGATGGGCTGTGACGCAACGCAGGAGGAGATGCAGAGGTGTTGGTCCGCAGCCAACTTGACTGAGGGAAATAATGCCTGGGACCAGATCCCGAATCTTGTTTTACTCTCTTTCTGTGCCTGCTCCGCCCTTCCCGGCAGATGCCACGCAATCTGAAGTTGTGAGGTGTTCGTTGAAACACGCTTATGGTTGTTTTCAGGTGTCTGTTATTCCGACTCCAGTAGTCAAATCTGACAGATGTATCGATAAATGGCCAGTAACCAAAATGTTTGGTAATGTGCACTGTTCATGCTGCGTTGTCATAGACGGTCTCTAAAAAGGGCTTCAAACAGCGGAACGTAAGGCATCACGTCTCTTAGAGCTGCGTTCAGTGCCATAGCTTTTGTTCCTAAGAGGATTGAGCTTGGGCTGATCAACAGCACGAGGAGGCAATCGAGCTCGAAGTCAACTGCGAAGAATGCCCCTCAGCAAACCTATGGCCTATTTGTTACGAAGCGCGCGATATCTCATCGCAAGTTTGAAGCCGCATTAATGGGGTATTTGAAAAATTCAAGCTATGTAAAAGGCATATACTGTTTGCAACATCAACTACCTTAATGTAACCGTAACCCGACCATAAAGTGAATGTCTACGCCGCCGGGCCTCGCAGTTTCGCAGTGTTAGTGCCCTTTGCACCATTAAAGCATGTCAAGGTTCGTTCTCTGTTCTCGCGTGCAGTCTCGACACCGCCTCGCTTATTTCCAGCGCCCAGCGAACGGCGGTGACGGCATATTTGAGACTTTCATTTTACTGGCAGGCATTCGCACTCCTATTTTTATGATGAGAATTCATGAGGACTTCATGGTCAAACTATTCGGCCGTTAAGCGTCTCGTGAGCTAAAACTTATTTGTGTGCAAAGGCTTCGCTTTTCATTTCTTAATGCAAGCCTCTCCTCGGCTTGTGGGCAATTAATGTTTTATAAACAAATATCTCTCGTTTTTTGTTGGGTTCTCAGGCTTGCAAGACTCATAGGTGTTTTTAATTCGCCCTGATTTGTCATTGCTCATGGCAGGGACTGGTACGGGGTCGATGCGACCCCCTGTCGTTTCCAAACTAAGAAAGATAGAGCTAAGCAGAAAGCACCAGTGGGTTGGTCTCTACAAGATCTTGCGATTGGTAATATGTTTCGGGTTTTTGGTAAATCAGAATTGACCCAATTGCATCCAGCCAAAGGTCAAATTCTCCTGAACATTAAAAGTTTTAAGTTTTATGCTTATTACGTGCGAAAGTGCCACGTAGCGACACGTAACCTATATAGTTACGTTTCTTGTTTAATTTTGAGTCCAACAGTATACCTTTTAACTGTGTTCACCATACAGTTATGGTGTATGGCTCCGTTACCAAAAAATGTCGGCAAGTCGCGCGCGTCCCGCGGCATCGTCGGCTGTCGGCCACCGCCTGCGACGGCCGTTGATCACCGTGCAGTGTTCCTAAAAACTGCCGCTGCTCCGAAACCAGAATAGCTAGGGTCACGTGTTCCGTGTCCAAACACGAGCAATGGATGCCCTATAGACTATGGAAAATGTGGGCGCGATTGCATGACATGCTGGGGAGCTATCTTTAGAAAGCCTGAGCGGGAGGGGGGGGGGGGGCTGCATCGACCCCCTCTGTCAGGGCAAGGGTTGAAATAAACTGCTTGTAACACAATGCATCTGCTCCCAGTTTGCACTTTTTTAAGTAAACGGGTTTATCCAAAACCCATTTTGAGTTCGAAGATGCTGCAGACTGTTTCTTCTTTAATTCGATATAGTTTTCCTTCGGAAGTTTTCATTTTGCACTCAAATGGTGAAAACGGTTTAGGAATGACTCGATAAAAGACTCCAAGAAGGTTACACGTCGTTGGTACATTTATTTTAGCAGCCTTTTTGTCTGTGACGTTACTGCTGAAGCGATGCCTAACATTGCAACATATCAGCTGTGCGTGATGTGTAGAGATTGATTTTAACTGTCTTTGGTGCCATTCGGCTGTGTGGTTGTGTGTGTGTGTGTGGGTGTGTGTGTGTGTGTGTGTGTGTGTGTGTGTGTGTGTGTGTGTGTGTGTGTGTGTGTGGTGTGTGTGTGTGTGTGTGTGTGTGTGTGTGTGTTTTGTGGTGTGTGTGTGGTGTGTGGGGTGTGTGTTGGTGTGTGTGTGTGTGTGTGTGTGTGTGTGTGTGTTGTGTGTGTGTGTGTGTGTGTGTGTGTGTTGTGTGTGTGGTTGTGTGTGTGTGTGTGTGTGTGTGTGTGTGTGTGGTGTGTTGTGGTGTGTGTGTGTGTGTGTGTGTGTGTGGGTTGTGTGTGTGTGTGTGTGTGTGTGTGTGGTGTGGAGTGTGTGGGTGTGTGTGTGTGTGTGTGTGTGTGTGTGTGTGTGGTGTGTGTGTGTGTGTGTGTGTTGTGGTGTGTGTGTGTGTGTGTTTGGGTGTGTGTGTGTGTGTGTGTGTGTGTGTGTGTGTGTGTGGGTGTGTGTGTGTGTGGTGTGTGTGTGTGTGTGTGTGTGTGTGTGTGTGTGTGTGTGTGTGTGTGTTGTGTGTGGGTGTGTGTGTGGTGTGTGTGTGTGGTGGTGGTGTGTGTGTGTGTGTGTGTGTGTGTGTGTGTGTGTGTGGTGGTGTGGGTGTGTGTGTGTGTGTGTGTGTGTGTGTGTGTGTGTGTGTGTGTGTGGTGTGTGTGTGTGTGTGTTGTGTGTGTGTGTGTGTGTGTGGTGTGTGTGTTGTGTGTGTGGGTGTGTGGTGTGTGTGTGTGTTGTGTGGTGTGTGTGTGTGTGTGTGTGGTGTGTGTGTGTGTGTGTGGTGTGTGTGTGTGGTGTTGTGTGTGGGTGTGCGTGTGTGTTGTGTGTGTGTGTGTGTGTGTGTCAGCTACTGGGGTTTCCAGATGCCTTACGCACGTTTCCTTCGTATGTATATATGCACTATACCGTAACATCCACATATCGATGGCTGGCAAGGACGTGACAAATTTGGAACCTTACTTTAGAATCATGAGACTACTCGTCCTGGGAGCTACAAAATAAGAGGTCATTTTTGATCGCCTCAACCACTCAAAAATATAAAACACAGCGCACGCATTCAGCGCTCGCTGATAGCATATATCCATCCACCATGGCAGCATGTGTCCAGCTCAGTTCTATTCAATTATACTACAACCCTGATGCTGTGCAATGTTCGGTTCATACGCATGGTTTAACTCGACCCGCGAAGGCCTCAAACTTCCTCCTGCCTTCAACATGTAACTGCAGCAGGAGCATCATCGTCACCTGCTGCCGCCGTCCGCAGGACCCGGCGCAGTTCGTGAGCTACCGGAAGAGCAGTGAACCGACGCCGCCGAACCTCAGTGGCAACATGTCCGACAAAAACGGCCATGCTGTGCCGGGCTCGTCCTGGAAGAACAACTATGTCCCAGCCTACGCCAACGGCGACAAACTCGGGAAGGTGAGACTTCAAGTCCGTGACCCCATGCTGTGTGCAGGATTGGACAATGGTCTGTATGTGTGTTTACAGGAGCGTTTACCACGTCGCGTGCATTTGCACACCTGTCGGCGTGGCAATGCTGCATGCTCGTGCACGCTCATCGCCGGACATCTCTATTATTTGAATGGCAACATTGCGCTGATGATGTCGAGACATGGCGTGATGCAATGTCCACGCTGTGAAAACGCACACTGGATTTGCGACAACGAATGCCGATGCTGGATAGGCAGAACTGTTCAATTTCACTGCAGTGATGCGCAAAAAGCCCCCAGTAGATGATGTTATTAGACAATTCTTGAAATCCAGCCGTATTTATGAGCAATCACTTTGCCGCCCGGGCCGTTGACAATGAGTGGTTTAAATGCATATGAGTTCTGGAACAGAGTTAGTGACTTTAAGATTACAGGATTCATAACCCCAACATAACATGACTAATGACCTTAACATGCCGGGATTTATGAACTTTAAGTTATAGGATTGAGGACTTTAACATGCCCCTTTCTTTGACATCAAAGTACTTTTGATATCACTTGGCATTACTACATTTCTGCACATCAACGCATTTGCCACGCAGCCCACTTTGGCTCAACAGCACCAATGATCCAGGAACTTCTTCAAACCAATGATGTTCAGGCCACCAACACAGCACGACAGTGTCATACACTTGTATGGACATCACGGACTGTTCCCAAGCCTTTATCACGACATCGCTGGTAAAAGCGTGATCTTTACAGTCCCATCCTGCGCTCAAACACCACGTCACGATTTTGCCCGGCATGCTGCATTCAGCACGTTCAGTGCATTGCCTGTTGCCATGACGACGTGGTCGGCGCGTCGGAACTTCCGCGGCTGCGCCAGCCACGGCCATGACAGGCAGCTTGACGACGCTTCAGGCATCGTCACCGCGAAAGCCGCGCACACGACTGGCGTGCGCTGGTCGTGGCCAAGACTTGCGACATCACGGTCATTAGTTTCGGTTGTGGGTCAACGACGTCCAGCTGAGGGTGGCCGATGGAGGACAGAGCTTCCTGTGTCGGCTCGGCTTGGCCTCAGCGGCGATTTCCTCATTAGTGATGATTGTCGGCACGGTTCTTGAAGTGCTTGGCGACCGCTTCTGAGATAGTTGTCATTGTTTGGTTTTCAGCGCGCTCACACATCAAACACCCTGTTCCTGCATGTACAACAAAGCACTACCTGCCAGGATAACACTTTCTAAAGCCGGTAGGGGGGGGGGGAGGGGGAGGGGGAGGGAGGACAGCTCAGCAGAAAAGACTGACCTAACCTACCCCCAGCCGGATCTTTTTCTGGATTTCTGTCACCTGAACATGCGTGCTGGACATTACAACACGGGAAAAAGGTTTTAAATGTTCTGTGGGTCCATCCGGCGGAGGAATCACTCCCTATTTCAAGTAAATGTGAGTTGCCCTTGTGTAAAAAGCTTGCAATGGGGAGTAGTTAGCGGAAAACGCATTTTACTAGATCTTAGTACGGGGCTATAGATGACTAGATGACTGCCGCAGCCACTGATCGTGTTGCATGACACCACAGCCATGCTGAGCCACTCTATACTTTCAATGCTGCCGCACATTACAGACCACTGTTCTTTGTCCTAATCCAGGTGTTAACATTTGAAGAACCTGTTAAAAATTTGCAGACTGGCTTGAGATATGATGGAGCTGGCATGGCAACAAAATGGGTCATACAGAATACTACTAGGTACAAAATTAACACGACACCAATATCGATGTTTTCAGGTGCCTGTTATTAAGTTTAGAATAGCTGAGATAATTTTTCTGCATTTATTCGGCCGAGTATTTTCTCTTTGCTCATATGCATTGATGGGGCTCAGAAGAGCATTGCGGGGGAGCTCAAGTCAGCATGGGGGAGGGCTCAAGACCCCCGAAGGTATACAGAGTGACGCCCCTGACTACCTGCTGAACTTTGCATCACTGATAATTCAGCGTCAACATCATGGGGTACCTCGCAGGGCAGGGGAGATAACAGGAGGAAACATTCTCGCCGACCCTAAAGGCGTCAGCGACATACAATGTCACATCTATACGAGTTCGCTGTAAAGGAACGCCTGAATTCTCCCCTCCCAGAACCCTATCCAGCAGCTTTTGATCCGAGTAGCGAAACATCTGGCCAACTTGCAGATTAGATAAGACACTCAAACTCTTAGCGTGGTCTCCTGCGCGTTGTGGTTAGGTTTCCATGGACATTTCCGATTTCTTGATTGGCCTAGTATTTGTGCCGCGTTTTTAGCCAAAGGCATTAGGTTCGAACGCATTGTTCGGTGTCATCCATGTGTCATTTTTTTATTGACTACAGGCCATTAGTCCGCTTTGGACTGGTTTTTGCTTCCGCTCACATCGAAATCAAATGCATCGTGCGAGTATCACACAGCAAAACAAGTTAGAAGCGGCACCTGCACGCTGCTGTCGCAGCCTTCTTTGCAGCCAGTGACGCACATAAGTAGTATCTGGTGTTCGGCCTCAATATTGAAAAGGTATTGAAACGCGTAAGCCATGAAATACATGCAATGTAACCATTGCACCCACGTTGAATCCCCAATTACTTAAAAATGAATGTATGACGAATTAAAACCAATCAAACATGGATGCATTCCATGAAGCGGCGCCAGAACCGAAAAACAGACCTCTCTTTTGAGGACTACGCGTTTCATAGCACTTGCCAACAAGCAGCATTTTGACCGTCATGCTCCCACGAGTCGCACCGCTCGCTTCAGCCCATGCAACCGACTCCTCTCATCCCGCAGCGTTCGCTGGAGCCGGTGGAGGTGGCTCCGGAGATAGAGCCGGAAGAGCACGACCGCGGCCAGTGGGGCTCCAAGTGGGAGTTTGTCTTCTCCTGCGTCGGCCTCTCGGTCGGTATCGGCAACGTCTGGCGCTTCCCCTACCTCGCCTACGAGAACGGCGGCGGTGAGTCTCTGGCGTGGTCCGCGAGAGCCACGGTTTGGGGCTGCGGTTTGGGACGGGCCGTGACGCTACGGTTTGAGGCAGGCCGTGACGCTACGGTTTGGGGCGGGCCATGAAGCTACGGTTTGGGGCGGGCCGTGAAGCTACGGTTTGGGGCGGGCCGTGAAGCTACGGTTTGGGGCGGGCCGTGACGCTACGGTTTGGGGCGGAGCGTGACGCCACGGTTTGGGGCGGGTCGTGACGCCACGGTTTGGGGCGGGGTGTGACGCCGGGACCGCGCTCTAAGGCGGCTGTACGTTGTGGTGACGCATTAATACATCATTGGAGACGAAGATACCTGAGATCAGCTGAAGCTCTCTGTGCTGCAGTGTTTAATGCTCAGCTACACTTTCTCTGGAGCTGCTTTTAGCTGTAGTGCTGATAAACATTTTGAACCAAGTTCAATGACCTGAAGAAGAATGTACTGGCCAACGTTTTTAAAATGCTGCCCTTGCGTGTCAAACGTGCCCAAATATTGTATTTTGGGGTATGCTTGCAGAAAGTTCCATATGCAACGTTACCAAGCGATAATGTGTGTTCAAGGATGTGGCCAAGGCATGTCTGGGCATTACTTATTAACATAGCAACCTACCTTAGAAGACTAAATAGAAATCACTTTGAGTAGAAGTAGTGCTGTCCCAAAACCAGGCAAAGATAAGAGACAAATCAATATACGCACGTGTTCTTTGGTGCGACAGGTGCCTTCCTGATACCCTACATCATCATCTTGGTCCTGGTGGGAAAGCCGATGTACCTGATGGAGACAGCAATCGGCCAATACAGCCAGCTGGGACCCATGTCCATGTGGAGCATGGCACCCATCATGAAAGGCAAGTGCACGTAGTCGAGCAGCCACAAGAAAGGTGAGCGAAAGGTTTGGCTGCTTACGGTGAGTTGTGATCACATCTAAACAGCTTTTGTTGGCAGCGTGTAGTCTGCTTTCAGGGTCGTGAAAGGAGGGATATATTTTGTATTGGCGCTATGAAAAATGGAGCTATTGCGGCACATGGATTTAATGACTTAAGGTAGGTAATAGGCTGTGGGCATTAAATCGCCTGTGCCAGACAGCCGTTATTAAACGGATTTCTTAGTTACTTAAAATCGCTGCTAAAAAGGCCCGCATTTGATGTTTACCTCCATTTTGAGAACTTCAGCGTGGTAACATAATGAGTTTGGTAGCACCATCTCGCCTTCGGTCGACCTGGAGTTGACGTTGGTCATTTATCCCGCACTGACCAACGTTTATGTGCCTTCGTTACTTGGCTACGCTGCTGGTAAGCTATGACTACGGTAACGTAGCTATGGCTACGTTACTTAGGTATGACTACGATGCTTAGCTATTGCTGCGTTAATTAGCTTTAGCTGCAGTCTTACATTACTCGGAAACATATAATACCTGAAAAATACCTGAGAGGCTTTCCGGTCACCATGGTTCTAAATCTGTGTGCATTTGCTATTTATTACTCTTTACGTTATGCCCATTTTGATGGCTTGTTTTCACCCTCACAGGCGTTGGTGCGGCAATGGTGGTGGTATCGCTGATCGTGGCCATCTACTACAATGTCATCATGGCCTACACCTTATTCTTCACGTTTGCCTCGTTCCAAGGTGGCTCCGCTCCTTGGTCTGACTGTCACGGTAAGTGATGAGTTAAATATTCTGCAGCGGACAAAACCAGCACACTTCCCCTGTTCTTTAAGTTGTAGCTAAAGATTTGTCGCCTCAAAGATTTCCCGGAGCTTTCTGACAACATCTTGGCTACATTGCATGCGACGATTGACACCGCTTTGCCACTGGCGGCAACGAACGACTGGCGTTCAGGACACGCTGAATGTGTTAACCCTTTTACGGCATTTACACGGAGCTGGACTGGCTTCCAGAGTCGTTTGCGGACGACAACTGTTTTGTTCGAAACGTGACCTTCCCGGCCTGCAAGTTCCTCGAGTCCAGAAACATCACAAACTTCACGGAGGGCGTCGACTGCCACAACAAGACGGAGCTAGCGGCGGAACAATATTTCAAGTGAGTTCGCGGCAGGCAAAGCAAGCACGATCACCACCACCGCTTGATGATGGACAAGAGGGTCTGTTAGACTTATCCTTTTCTACTACACCATACACATGATCTTCGATTTTAAGACTACTATCGGATCCCTTTGCCCCCCCCCCCCCTCCCTCCCAATCTCATGTGGCGTTCCTCCAGTGGCGTCTTCCATGAGCACGAGGCGAACATTGACGCATTCTTGGACACGCTGTTGAAATCCCCAACCCTTGCAGTTCACCCTCGGTTTAAGAATTCAACCTATCAAAATCTTCCTTTAGTCGTATGTGGATAGAGCCAATAGACGATTAGGAATAAAAAGTTCTAGATACAACAAATTCTGAACGATCGGAGCATCGACACTTTGTATTTTGTTTTCGGTCACAATGTTATGAAAGAAGACACAGCCATAATGAAAGTACCACTAGCATGATCTCCTTAAGCACGACTCGAGCAAACGTCAAAAACGCTGCAAAATCATAACTGCGTCAGGAGCAAGCCACAGCAGACACACACATCAAGCAGGATGCGGCAGATTTCTGCGAATGTCGGTGAAAAGAAATCGGGAATGGTTTTTAAATAGGTCCAGATATCTCGATGAGAGCCGCTGCTGTTGAGCGCTCCGGTCTGAAGGCTGTAGCTCTTATAGTTAAAACTAATGCTTGGCAATCCTGACCTAGGTCACTGATGTTGGTAGAGTAAAGCTTCAAATTTGCATAAGCGATGTCAACTTGATAGATTAACAGGTACTGAAAGGTTTGAGCTGCTGCGATCATTCGTTTTTTTTTACCCGTGCTTAAAAAACCGTAGGAGAGGTCAACTGCCCCGACCGGGCGCGGGTCAACAACTCTTCGCCGGCGGAGGATTGTAAGGTATCAGTTCATGGCAATGCAACATATTTAACCAGACAAGTTGGTCGTTGCATGGAAGTCATTGCCGAATTCAAATGCACCTTTTGAATCGGCACTGCTCCTGTTGTTTGGAACGCAAATGCTTTCACAATATTGCTGAAAGTAAGAATATTGCTGTTTTGGAGTCCGGCAGGAGCAAGCTTCGTTTTAATTCTGCTGTCAAAAGTTAAAACCCCATATGTCTATCGTGGGAATTTTGCGTCTTTGTGTTGTCTGATTTGTCTTCTGATGCTGAGGTCGGATATTTGGACCAATAGTTAAAATTTTCACAACTTTTAGCTAAAAAATGGCTAAAACTTTTCCAAAATTTCAACTGGTGGTTTGAATAACCGAATTCAGGATCAGTAGAGGAATCAGGCAGCAGGAAAAAGTCCAAATAGCTAAAACTAGCATGTGGGGTTTTACCTTTGGACGGCGAAATTCGTATGCACGTGTTGGCTCGATGCTTTGGTTTCCATGACAGCTATTTGAAAGGAATCACAGCAAAGATAATGAAATCGGGATTGTATCGCATCGGATCTTGGTAAAGAATGAAACTAGTCAACCCACACGAAATGTCATTCACCCATGCGATTGGCTGACAGACGGAACCTTTTCAATGCAAATAATGCTGGTAATTTGCTTATTCAGTAATGACAACTTCATTAGCGTTCGTTATGAGTGAATTCCGGCCAATCTCTGGCGGTCGCAAAGATCAAGATAATCTCATACTGAATCTATATAGTTTTGAACTACAAGAACACATCGCAAGTCTGTGCTTTGAACGCAACCCTAACATTAAGTGCCATGTCAACAGCACACGTGAAGCCGCCGCACAACTAAGAGTCGGGGCAGTCCATACCGGGTGTGCTGTCCGATCCACGAAGACGCTTTCGCTTTCGCGCCCTCCGCTTTGAAGCTTTCCCATGACCCGAGCGTTGCGTCTATTCAGGACGGCCTTCAGTCGTGATCACGCGGTTGATTAGCTCGTCGGATGCGGCGCAGCCCCCTGAATGGGTCTGGATTTTCTCCATTCGGCGGCATCGCAATCGGGACGGTGTGAAACTTCCGTTTCCTGCTAGACGGGCTGTGCAGATCACGCTGCGCACGGTCCACTTTCGCATCACTAATCTGCTCCCCTCGCCTGATATCTCTCACTTGTGTAAGCATATCCCATCGCCTGCTACGCACTAGATAAGTATTCCCCGAGTTTGGATGGAACCATTTAGTCTGCCTTGCCGCGCAACACCACGCAAAGAAAACAACGGAACTTGACTGAAACCGGTTCTGTGCTCTTTCCCATTGCGTTGCCTACTATGCTCGTGCAGTAACCAATAAAACTGCTGTACCGACGGCAAGCATAACTTTTAGAAGCGTCTCCGGAAGCCCACTTAATGTGGTGCATGCTGGAAACCAAGAAACTGTCGAAGTGGTGACTGCTGAAGGTGTTGCTGCCACCCAGGAGCATTTCCATTTGTAACGCTGAAACGAACTGTCTGTAGGCACTTTGTGCTGCGCCTGGGAGACGGCTTGGACACGCCCGGCGACATCGGGGGCATGAATTGGCAGTTGACGCTCTGCCTGCTCCTCTCCTGGATCATCGTCTTCTTCTGCCTCATGAAGGGTGTCAAGAGTTCCGGCAAGGTAAGCTAGAGCTTCGTAGTGGACATCAGCGTTCAGTTGGGGTGACCGCTTAGAATGCCTACTATGCTAGCTGATTTAAGCGACGCTGCATAAGCGGTGATAACTTCCAAAGGTGACAGACAGCCTGTAGGACATTTGTCTGCATCAAACTGAATATTTTTGAAGACCAAAAAACACCAAAAAAAAAAAACAGGCATGCCCAAAATACTTGTGAAAGGTCACTTTCTTAAGGTGACTTTTTTCTCTCTCTCTCTCCCTCTCTCTCTCTCCCGCTCTCTCTCTCTCTCTCTCTCTCTCTCTCTCTCTTTCTTTCCCTCACTCTCACCTCTCCCCCCTCTTTACTCGAGTCTACTTCTTCACTCTCTCTTTATCACTACCCTGGCTTCCTTTTTCAGCCTCTCCCGTTCTCCTCCCATTCTCTTTCTCTCCAGCCCTGCGTCTCTTGATGCTTGCCCCGCATCTAGGCTGTGACCGAGGCGGTCTGTTCCTACAGGTGGTGTACGTCACGGCCACGGCGCCGTACGTCTTCTTGATCGCCATTCTGGCCTACGGCTGCACCCTGCCGGGGGCCATTGATGGCATCAAGTTCTTCTTTATCCCCGAGTGGGAGAAGCTCAAGGACATCACTGTGAGCAGCTGGAGCAAATATCCGCCACTGGGCGGCAGTTTTGTGGAAGACTGATAACCTAATTTGTCGCACTGGTTCGATATTTTGCCACGCTGGGTCACGATAACAAAGTAACTCATTACAATTGCGGTCCTGATGTTTTACGCGACTGTTGCTCTTATACTGCTCTTAATTTTTAGTATGCTCCAGGGGGTGAAAAACCTGTTTGCTTCTGGCAGGACGTTTGGACGACTATAAGCGAAGCTATTCGCCGCTTTCGCCATATGGATTCGTATCCGACATATATCTTGCCAATATTTGTGACCGATGGGAATGACTTCCAAATCGTCTGACCTGCGACCTACTGGTGACCCCTCGCAGGTATGGCAGAAGGCAGCCGAGCAGATGTTCTTCTCACTAAGCGTCTCGTGGGGCGGCCTGATCATGTTCGGCTCGTACAACAAGTTCAACAACAAGGTGCACATCGACTCAATGGTGATATCCTCGCTGGACTTCGTCACATCCATCATCGCCAGCGTGGCTATCTTCAGCATCATGGGCTCGATGGCCCAGTCGGCCGGCGTTAAGGTGGACGAGGTGGTGAAGTCTGGCCAGGGCCTAGCATTTATCGCATTCCCCGAGGCCATAGGCGGCGTGCCCGGCTGGCAGCTTTGGTCCATCTTGTTCTTCGTCATGCTCTACACCCTCGGCCTGGACTCGGAGGTGAGTGCGGTACGGGGTGGACACTGGCTGGGAGACTGGCCCAGTGCCAAGGGAAATGGTGAATTTCCTGGTCACTGATAACGTTTGAACTCTGTCTTTGTTTCGTAAGCTTTCCCTTACAGAAAGGCAGCCATTAGTGCTGCGTTTCGCAATTGCACCTTTTGAACTGGGCAATAAAAATGCGCTTTGAAGGTGTGTTTGGGAGGATATTTGTCTGTCAGTTTGCAGCTGCGGCGCTGCTAGCGGCTAATCACCCCACATACAACTCGATGTCGTGATCTTTAAAAGCACCAAACCGAACACAATCTGTGTTATGCACGGAACACAATCTGTGTTATGCACAGAACACAATCTGTGTTATGCACATAACACAATCTGTGTTATGCAGCAACGCATCCACGAATTCCCAACAGATGTCATTCATTGATATTGTGCATTGTTCATTTATTGCCATACACAGTTATGTCGTGTCTCTGTGCTGTTTCACCATGCCCACTCGCCCCCCCAAAAAACATCCCAAAACCAACGCGTCGTTTTGGCAGTTTGCCTTGCTGGAAACCGTCACAACGGCCATCTACGACTCGTTCCCGTCCACACGGAACTGGAAGGCTCTGGTCACGTTGGTAGCCTCCAGTTCCTGTTTTCTCCTTGGTCTGCCCTGCGTCTCTCAGGTAAGACTTCATAATGGGATTATATCGAAGAAAGAACGGAGGAAGAAGTTCCTATTGTTATCTTTCTGTGAAAATATTTGGGCGAAAAGCAGTCTTTAGCATGTGGATGGGATTCCTGGTATGGATTATTGGGCTTTTTGGTTATATGACAGAGATTCTGGCGGAAAAGAAACTTGCATACAATTTTAAACGTGTCGATAACCCGAAAGAGAATCCAGTGCGGTCACGTGATGATAATATGGGGCGAAGTTGTCAGCTGGTTTTCTGCAACAACTAATGACCGTTGATTCCATATGTCCATAGTATGTGCAGGCGTCTGCTTCTTAAGCTAGTTAATTGTTTTGCTCTTATAACTGATGAGGCCTGTGATCCATCTAAGAGTACCCCAGCACCAGGCCATTTGCTCGGCGCGGCCCTGTGACGGCGGTGCGCTGCTGGCAGTCGGGCCCGTACGTTCTGCACCTGATGGACACGTTTGGCGGTCTCTGCGTGATGCTGATCGCTGTGTTCGAGCTGATTGGCATCATGTGGATATATGGCGTCAAGCGCTTCTCGGACAACATCCAATTCATGATCAACTACCGGCCCAGCATGTACTTCCTCGTCTGCTGGGTGCTCGTTGCGCCGCTGATGCTTGCGGTGAGTTCTGGCTGGCTGGCTGGAGTGAGACTGGTGGGTGTTCTCTTACCGGGCAGCTGCGGCTCCTGGCATCACCACGCCTCACGCAATTCGCATTTGTTCACGGTGGTGCTAAACGCTGTTGCCTGTGACGTTTTTATTCTGTGTTTTTTTTTCGGTGCAGTTCTGCACCAAAATAAGACCAAATCTTTGACTATGTGTGCGGCGTTGTCGGCAAATCGTTTTGGCATGGAATTGACAATCTCTCGAAATGACAACGCCTGACCTCCAATTACTCTTGCAAACAGCACAAACAGTTTGTAGATGGAAGAACACAGGACCCTGCGCGTTAGATCGCCACTTCAAACCAACGTCACCTCGACCCTTGTACTGTTGCAGGCCATCTTCGCATACGCGATGTACGAGTACGAAGCGCCCAAGTACGGCGACTACGTGTACCCGGAATGGGCGGTGGGCGTCGGCTGGGCCCTGGCGGGGGTCTCCATCGTCCAGATCCCCGTCTGGGGCGTCGGCGCTCTCCTCTACCACACGTGCAAGGGCGTAAGTAGAGGCTCGCTCAGCGCCAATGGCTGCGTCTGCGTGAGGACGAACAGAGGGAACGAACGGAGAGAGATGTTTGCTCCGTGAACACTCAGCGTCTTGTATATGTAGGAGTTTGGCGAGTGCATGGAACAATAAAGGTCGCTTCCGCTAGGCTAATCAACTGGGAGGGAAAGGTCATGAGTCTGGAACTTAATTGGACTGTGATATGATAGCTCTTCAACATCCCATGATGTTGTCAACCCGTAGGTTGCGATGAGAAGGGTCACTCAAGTAAGGTATAATTTGGAATCTGATATCAACGGCAGTGCATTCTCTCAGTCATGGTGTCAATTAGTACATACCACAGAAATACCAACGAGAGGGAGTTGAAGTCATACTGCGTTACAAATAGTCGGTGCACCCGGATATTCCTGATAACGAAAGGAGATCTTCATCACCTGGTCTTTGGACAATTCCAGAGAACAAACGAATTACGGGACCAGTAAACGCTACTTTTATTTCCAAACAAACCAGTGTCGTGCGAAGCAAATCCCTCAACTGGCAGCAAATTTCACAGTGCCCGTGGAGCACATCAAGTGATCTTGATCCGTTGGTCTGCACTCTGTAGCAAGTCAGCAGATCAGGTCTACCCGCGCGTGCCCCTGAACTGATCTGCGCCTAGCCTGGTCCTGAATTGACCTGACTTGACCTGATCTGACCGGCGCCCGTGTCTGCAGGAGCCTGGCCAGGCGTTCCGGCCGCTGCCCAGCTGGGGTCCGGGAGACAAGGAAGCGAGGCGCCGCCTGCTGGCTGTACAGCAGCAGCTGCTGAGGCGTGACCAGCTGCACGGCCGCGACAACCCCGCCCTGGAGATGGAACGGGTCTAAACCAGCTGCAAGACTCCGACATCCCCGCCCTGGATATGCTTCGGGTCCAAACCAGCTACACGACACCGACATCTCAGCCCTTGACATGAATCGGTTCCAATCATCTGCACTGCTTTCGACAACTTCGCCCAGGAGATAAACCGGGTCCAAACCGGCTGCACGGTCGCGACGGCTCCACCCGGGAGATGAGCCGGGGCGAGATGCAGATGGACTGCGCGAGCGCTTGAGATGGTATCCATGCCTGGAGACGGGTGGGGTGTGTGCAGCCCCAGTCGGCAGGTACGCGAGGTCGCAGACAATGTGTCGAGACGGCAAGTTCGCACATGGGTCAGAGTTCGAAAGGCTTCAGTGTGGGAAAGAGCAAGTAGAAATCGTATACGTCCTCTGAAGAGCGGTAATGTGGTTGGTATTTGCGCCAGTATATCGGTGGCGATGTCCGTTCAAGCACTCCTTGCTACCAGCCCCATGGCTCGCGAGCAATCTCCACAGCTGCAGAGACACGCATGGCGGTGGTGCCTTCTGAGGGGCTCCAGCGGTGCCACGAGGCCACTGTCGGCTGGATGGTCCAGCATTAGCGAGCTCAGACTTGATCAGGCGACGCCCTAACGTTCTAGCATTTATCCGTTGCGTGCACTTGACCGGCGTGAAGCGCTGGCGTGGAATCGAAGGTCCACCGGTGGCAGTGCAGTGCGCGTCAAGTCGCAGCGCCGCGGCTGGTGTCCTGGTGCTGTTTTTGTTCGGAGTGCGTATGTGCTACGAGCTACGTGCTACGAGCTATGTGCTACGGGCCATGAGCCAGGGGGACGCGAAGTTTTCATTTATTTGCTACAGCAATGCTCGCAGCCACGGGCGTGGCCACCATTGCGGCCTGTTGGTCGGAGTCGGAGTATTCTTCTGCGAGAGGAGGCTGGATCGCTTTCACACGTTGACCACAATAGCAGACAAAGCAGATTAGGCCCCGGTAACCTGCAGTACACGTTTGCGCCCTTGCTGGCAGTAATGGCGCTGAAAGTGACGTGGACATTGTGGATGTTTTAAAACAAGAAGCACCTGTGATCAACAACATGATTCCGTCCTATGGTTGTTGGGCGTTCAAGCTTCGCGCGAATGTCGCCGGTCTGCGGCCAACACAAGCGTAACACCGGAAGATGATCTTCATAGACGCCGCAACGCCGAAACACAATGCTCACGCCAGACGATGTGCGCTGTTGTATTCAGCTGAATTTACAAGTGTATGTTTTTGGGGTCTTGTCTGAGATCGGTACGCTATCACGTCCCATCTCGATATTTAGAATGGGGTTTCCAATTGTTAGAAAGTGTTATATGGTTCAAAACAGTTCCAGACAATATTCATCCGATTCGGTCCCTCACACACAGGGCTGTGTTCTGAACGCCTCAGTGAGTAGACGGCGTGGACCAATGCAATATGCTGAGCATGTTCCGTAACAGCAGACGCGTTTGGTGCCAGGAAAGAGTAAGCGAGTAGGTAAGAACACTTGAATTTGATGCTAGGCTTATCTCGCGACGTTGTGTATGAATGAACTTCATCTAAGTGCTATGAGTAGAGAGGATTACAGAGCTGTGTACCAACTAATGATGCGAATATACATTTTATACGGCATGTCGCATAATTACTAGTGGGACTGCAGGCCTGGAAAATGGCAAGTAAATCGGCCCCAAGACACCCATCCAACCGAGAGCACCATGGTCTATGATACCGTTTTACATGAAGCGTTGACGGTTTCGGTTCGCATCTGAATTTTGTGTGAGATTCTGAAAATGATTTAGGACGCATGGCGATAAAGCTGAAGCAGATAAAGCTATTCAAGGTACGTGCACGCCGAGCGATTTATTGCCTTTACTCGTCCAATATTTGGCCGGTGTTGGCCATATATCATGCTTTATTTTTACAGAGAAGAATACCATACTTTTACATGGAGACTGATCACATTTACGTTTAAGGTGATGTGTGCAAACCCCACAGATCAAATCCGGAAGCAGTCAGTGAAGAAGCTTTGGGCACTTCGCTTCCACGAAAGATGAGATGAATGCCATCTAATCTTGCTGATACAGCTTAGGCTGTCAGGGAACATCAATAACGAAGTGTATGCAAATCACAGGCATCTCATGCCCAAACCCCCGAATGGTATGTTTGTGAGGCAACGCCAGACAATCATGGGGGAAAGGAATGTTCGGTAACGGGCCTTTATTTCGGGTTTTGTCCTCAAGCAACATAGATAACGCTTTATCTTATACCAGTGCCCGTGCCACGTGTATCGGCGGCAACGTTTTAAATGCCCATATTGTCATTAACAGGTATGGGCATACGATAAACCCATACCCACACAAATTTGGATTACAGGGAATGGTTCACATTTAGAGACATTGAAGCAAGCATTAGGTATGGTGGAATAAGTTCACTTACAACCACTGTTATATTATTAAGTGAAAAAGAATGCTCTAGACAAAAGATTTGCGCTGTAAAGTGAATATATTCCTCAATGGGTCATTGTTCCATTACGTCATCGTACCTTGCGCAGCATTGATTGTCAGCCATTTGACAGCCGTTATATCTGAAAATCGTTGTCACGAATGCCAGATATGAGTGGCTCGACATTTGTATTTTTCTTTGCCCTAGCCGCCATATGGATTCTGGAATGGCAGGATATGAATGATGTCATTATTGCGTCATGGATGTTTGGGTGAGCTGAAATAGTCTCCCCAGGAAAGCCTGCACATCTTCGCGAGGGTGTAGCTCAGGCACTTGGGGATTTTGGTCTTAAAAGGGTCATGGCTGTGAACCGCACGGCATGCCCTTCAAAATAGCTATTCTAGGTAAACATCCCATATGAATGTGCAACACTCTTTAAAAAGGCCACCTCATGTTTACCTGGAAATTTTCAACATTTAGTCAGAATTAGCTGGCGAGAATAACAATAGCGAGAATAAGCGAATAGCAGAATGGGCAAGACAAATCATGTAGCGTAGTTTTGGACATAGACACTCGCAAATATTAGCAACAAAAACCTCGACGCCCGGCGTTGCGATCTCCGTGATCGGCTCGGCGTCGGCCCGGCAGCTAACACCAAGCGTTGGCTAACAGGCAACGAACATCTGGTGGTGGAACTGGAACAGTAAAGGTAAACTCTATGCTGTTCGCGTTGTTTTAGCTGTTAAAGAGAGTGTTCCGCATCGCTGTGTGGTTTTGGACTGAAATAGCCATATTGAAGATCATTTGGCACAGGTCACAGCCCTGCCCTTCTTAAGACCCAACTCTTCTAGTTTCTGAGCTAAACGCTTACGAAGATGGACAGAATTTTTCGAGAAGACTTCTTCCAGGTCACCAAGGCATCCATGACGGCATGATAGTGTCTTTAGATTCCTGTCGTTTTATAAGCCATGTGGCCATCAAGGCCATGAAAAACATGATTACCTAATTGTTCATATCTAGCGTTCGTGAGCACGCTTCCCAGATATAATGGCCGTCAATCGACTCTCAATCAATATTGTACAAGGTACGATGACATAATCAAAAAATGACGTGTTGTGGAGCATATTTACTAAACTGAGAAATTGTGCCGTCAAGAGCAGGCTTTTCACTTAAAAGTCAAGAAATAGTTCTAAGTGTGCTTATTTCATCATATCTGATGCTTGCTTCAACATCTTCAAATGTGGAACATTCCCCTCATTCCGTCCAGACGAAAACTTCAAAACTGAAAAGACAGATACAGGCACCAGCATGACCTTTAGCGGTACAGACTTATTTCGAAAGCCTCACGAAAACACTATTTCACGACGATCGATCTCGCGCACATGGCGCTGGCCACCTGGTGCTACTTGCAGTGGCCTTATTTGCAGAGATAAAATAAGCCAAATCAGTTTCTTGGAAGTCACATTCAGTAAGCCATTTGTCAGCCCTGTGTGCCACCTTTCCCCCACCCCAACAACGCTTAGTTAGCGATGTTCAGTAGTTTTCCTCTGTAGAATGAAGGGATATTTATGTTTGGTTTGGGGGAGTCAATTTGGCAGCACCAAGTGGGCTTCAAAGCACGGCCGCAAATTCAAATGTGAAGTGGGATGGGTTAGCACACAGTGGGTGTGGTTGAGCAGATTTTTCGGGTGTTCAAGCATTGAATGTGCATATCCCGTCTCAGGATCGTAGCTTGTGGCATACAATCGCCAGGAAGACATTGGAGGAATAGAAACCAACGGGAAACAGTATTTGTGGTGTATGCCGCAGATGCGCCATTCACCGATTTTAGTGTCTCAGCCGTGCATTAACCTGGTTTGAGGATTCGTTAGATGCCGTAATGGACGCAGATTCATCATTGACCACAACTTTTTCTGTTGTTGATACTGAAACAGTCATGCGAAATATGCGGCATCAGGATGAATCTCAGTTCTATACCTTGGTGAAAATGCATCTTTCATTCTTGTTGAATTTCTCCATTGATGAGGTAGATGCTCCAGCATTAGCTGATGATAAAAACAACGAAAGTGCTAGAAAGCTGCTGCCATTCAGCACCAAGAGCAAAGGCAAGTCAACAAAAGGCACCAGCTCAGAAAGTGTGGTGCTTTCTCATGAAGGTGTTTGTCAGGCATACCAGTTGATTGAATTTCTCAGTAGAGAAGAGAACTTGGTACATGAAGGCCTGTTCCGAAAAACTGGAAACCTTGTGCGACAGCAAGAGTTGAAGCAATATCTTTTGTCTGGATCATCAGTAGACTTTGAGTCTGGTCTTTACTCAGCTCATGATTGTGCCAGTGTTTTGAAGGGGTTTGTGGCAAGTCTCTCAGAACCCCTTCTAACCAAGGCCCTGTACCCAGCTCATTGTCAGGTGGCAGACATATGTCCCATGGACACACCTCCTGAACAGTTGTGTGCAGCTCACAACAAGCAGATCAAAGCACTGCAGTTGCTGTTCTTGCTGGTGCCAGCTGAAAACTACCAGCTCCTCAAGGATTTATTGCACCTGCTGTTCAAGGTCTCCAGACGTCACAAGGAAAACAAAATGACTGCCCTGAACCTGGGTACCATGTTTGCCCCCCACATCCTCTGCCCGAGGAAGATGCCCGCCACCGAGCTTCAAACTGCCTCAGGCTCAATGGCTCAGGCCGTTGCACTGATGATCGAGAATACTCCACTACTCTTCAAGATTCCCCAGGAGCTGGAAATTGACATGCGTGCCTATCTGGAGCAGCAGGGAGGCACGCCAGGTCTGCAGCGGCGCCGCCGCCACAGCTGCTCCGACGCCGACTCGCCGCAGGCTACCACCGTCTTCAGCTTCGTGGACCGGGAACAGTCGGCGGCAGCGGGCGAGCACGACAACACGGACACGGCGCTGGCCGGCCTATACGCGCACATCAGCAGCATGCCGGACTCGACGCGCCGCCGCAAGCTCATCAAGCAGTTCAACCGCGAGAGCGGCCCCGGCACGCCGACAGTCGTGCAGCGCACGCGCACGCGCAGCTTCGGCGAGTCCCTGCGCAAGCACCTCTTCTTCGCGGCCGGCCGGCAGCGCAAGCCGCCGACGAAGGGCGCGGCACTGGGCCCGCGCCGCAGCAGCTCGGAGGAGGCGCTCGCCAGCCCGCCGTCGCCGGAGCGCGCGCGCTTCAAGCAGAGCACCGAGGAGGTGTCCATGTGGCCAACGCCGTCGCTGGCGGGGCCGTCGCTGAAGCGCTCGCTGCTGACGCCGACGGCGGCGGCGCGCTTCACGCCGCGGCTAGCGCGCAGCCTGCGGCAAGTGCAGCGCGAGGGGGTGGCGCGCGGCGCCGAGGGCGTGCCGCCGCCGCTGCCCGGCTCGGCGCGCCGCTCCTCCCGCACCGCCGAGATGTCCACCTTCCGCGCCGGCAGGAACAACTCGATGCGGCGTGGACAGGTGAGCGACGAGTCGGTGATGTGGCGCGGAGTTGGCAGGGAACGTATAGACAGTTTGAGAGGGTTGAGAGGGAGGTGGAGTGTGCTTGGTCGGAGCAGTCCGATGAGACGGATTATGTATTGCCACTGAAAATGGTTCTAACCAAGTTTGCACGATTTGTGTGTATCTTACTTTGCATCATCATATCTTTATTCAAAAATAGTATTTTGTGTGGTAACTTATCTGGTTGGCTGAGCCCCTCATTATGCACGTTACAACTGATGAGGGGTATATGACAGGCTTCTTAAAAAGGCCTTGTTTCATCATGTGGATGCATTTTATATTCTTACGCACCTTACCATGTACTCACTAGTAATGCTTCGCTTGAGTGGCGTGTATCTCCCATTGTCGCCTCTCCTCGATGAGCAGACGCTGTCGTGCCGCAGGTACCGCTGCGTCCAGTGCGCGGGGACGGGCCGGCCGCGCCCACCTCGCCCATCAGCCAGAAGATGGGCACCATGTGCTCCAGCACGCGCGTGCAGATGCTGACGCCGCGCAACCGGCGCGCCGTCTGTCTGCTGTCGCAGACGTCTCTGTCGGCGGCGGCCGACACCAGTGCCGGCCCAGCGGCGGCGGCGGCGGCGGCGGCGGCGGCGGCGGCGACAGGGGCGCCGCTGACGCCGGCCGCCGTGACGCCGCTCTCGCCGATGGAGCTGCAGCCGCTGGAGGACAGCCCGAGCGGCCCGAAGCGGCCGCGCCGCCAGCCGGCCGCGCTCAGCTCGCCCTTCTGCCGCTACCTGCTGCAGAGGGATATGCTCACCGCCGAGCCGGTGGACCTCTCGCTGGTGGAGGTCACACCGCCGTCGCCATCCGGTGAGGGGTGGCAGGCTGCGGCGCCGGTGTGGCTCGGCGTGCTGGCCATGTTTGTGGCTGTGTGAATGCTGGGTGGGAGCTAGTTGGTGGGTGGACTTGTTCTCTTGTGGGTTGACTGTCACTGCTGGAAATGGTCTTGTTCTGGTGGACGTCGACCAGCAGATGGCTTTAATTCTGGGCATGCCTCTCCTGCCTAACACACCACGTCTGTGGAACGCCGGCACTATGTTTGGCTATCACAGCCGATTTTGTTGCCTCCTTACATGCGGCACGTGCCATCCGTACATCATCTCCCATTCGGTATCTATCTGTTGGCCCCGCCTGGACCGTTATTCTTCTCGACTCCTTGAATTTAGCCGCATCGTATGCCCTCCATGCAATTCTCATCCCCAAAGGTGGGATCCGTGGCCAGAAAGGAACATCTAACCTTAATTGACAGCTTATGGATATGTAATCTTTCTGAGCGAGTGGTTCCAATGGGCCAGATTCGCACACCTTGTGGAGGGTTGAAACATATGGATCTAACTTTATTTTTGGCTGGACTTTTGTGCGCAGTTGAGCTTATAAGTTCCGCATTCTGACAGTTGCCTAATGGAAGCGTGCTCTCCGTGTTTGCAGCTGGCGCAGTCAGCGCCACGGCCGCCCGTTTGCTGTCTGGGGACTCCCCGCTCAGCGACTCCCTGAGAGAGTGTCTGGACGGCACGGACCCGTCCCAGGTCGAGCTGACCCCGGCCGACCTCGCCGACCCGGCCGCCTCCGGTGAGTGCTGGGAGGCTGGAGACATGTGGTGGGTGCGTGACGGCACTGGCTTCTTTATGTGCATGGTGGGGCTGTGATTCCACTCAGAAATCTGGAAGTGAGAAACCTATAGAACTTTGCTTCAAATTGCTTTGAGACGTGCCTTTTGAATCATAACTGTTAGCAGAAAGGAATTATAACGTTTTGTGTTCAATGACACGGACTTCTGCTGTCTTAAGCATACGAATGTGCAAGCTGTTTAGATCCTGCTGCAAATAGCTTTACATGAACCATCACATAATCTGTCCATGTTTTACCCCTGCGACAGACGCAGCCGAGCCGGCCACCATGGTGACTGTCCGAGCGGCAGACGTGGCGGCGGTGGCACCAGCTCCAGGGGGCCTCGCTGCGGGCCCTGCAACGGCCGACCCACCGCCTGCCGCCAGATCCCCTGGCCAGGGAGACCCTACGGCCGACGACTCGGGCCCCGTCGCCAGGGAGCACACAGGTGAGCCGCAGCCCGGCGCCTGCCGCCTGATCCCCGGGCCAGGGAGACCTTACGGCCAACGACTCGGGGCCCCGTCGCCGGGGAGCACACAGGTGAGCCGCGGCCCGGCGCCTACCGCCCGATCCCCGGGCCAGGGAGCCCCTGCGGCCGACGACTCGGGCCCCGTCGCCGGGGAGCACACAGGTGAGCCGCGGCCCGGCGCCTGCCGTCCGATCCCCGGGCCTGTGAGCCCCTGCGGCCGACGACTCGGGGCCCCGTTGCCGGGTAGCACACAGGTGAGCCGCGGCCCGGCGCCTACCGTGGACGCTCGGACGTCTGTGGTAGCGGCAGCGGACCTTCTGAGGCTGTTCGTGAGACGGTTTTCTGCGCGCGTTGCGGCTTTGTGATTGATGCCACCTATGTAGTGTGTTTGTCTCGTCTCAGTAAATTCGTGACGAGGGCTGTGGTATTTTGTGATTGCTTTCTGAATGGCATTGTCTGAAATTCGCCAGTTACGCGGATGCTGCCCCGTTTTAGCAAAGTGCATGTATGGCGCTATTTTTGCCTTCCTTGTATCTCTTTTAGAACTGAAAAACAATATATTATTTCGTATTACCTAGGGTGCAACACAATGTTCCTAAGCTAACCCTCGGTGCAACCTCCACAGACAACATCACTACCACATCACCACTCCCCTGACAACACCCTGCCACCGACAGCACCCCTCCACTGACGGCACCCCTCTACTGACAGCGTCCCTCTCCCGACGCTTCCCTCCACTGACAGCATCCCTTTCCTGGGAGCACCCCTCCCAGGGCAGCACCCCACCCTGGACAGCACCCCACCCTGGACAGCACCCATCTGAGGACAGCACCCATCTCAGGACAGCACCCATCTCAGGACAGCGCCATCTCCTGGCAGCACCCCTGCCCCCTGAAAACACCTGTCTCAGGACAACACCCCTCCCAACAACAATCCTTTTGACAGCACCCCTCTTCTGAAACACCTGACTGCTGAAAACACTTTTCCTAACAGTACTGTTCTAGTAGCACCACTTTCCTGGTAGCCCTCCCCCTAATGGTGCTCACTCCTGGAAGCACCCGTCCCTTGACAGTGTGCCTTCCCCTGAAAACACTTTTTACCGACAAAACTGCTCTCGACAGCACCCCTCCGACGGCACCTTTCTACTAGCAACACCCTTCTCCTGATAGCACCCTCTCTCCTGACAGCACCCCTCCTGACAGCACACTTCTCCTGACAGCGTCCCCTCCTGACAGCACCATCTCCTGACAGGACCCCTCTCCTCTCCTGATCGAACCCCTCTCCTCTCCTGACGGAACCTCCTCTCCTGGTATCATCCCATCTCCTGACAGCATCCCTCTCCTGACAGCGCTCCTCTATTGACAGAATCCCTCTTCTGACAGAACCCCCTCTCCTGACAGCACCCCTCTCCTGACAGCACCCTGTCTCCTGACAGAACCCCTTCTACTGACAGCCCCCCCCCCTCCCCTCCCCTTACAGCGCCCGCTCTCCTTACAGCATCCCTCTCCTCACAGCATCCCTCGTGACAGCATCCCTTTCCTGACAGCACCCCTCTCCTGATAGCACCCCTCTCCTGGCAGTACCCCTTTCCTGACAGCACCCCTCTCCTGACAATTCCCTTGTCGGCAGACGGCCCGACGGTGGATATCACGGCCCCAGAGCCAAATGACGAGGGCTACCGGTCGCTGACGTCGACCAGCAGCGGCGCCTCGCTGCCGGCGGCCGCCAGCCCCCCGCGGTCGGCGCTGGCCGACGTCAGCAACCAGTCAGCCGGCGGCGACACGTCCCAGCTCAGCCGCATCGGTCAGTACGGCCGCCGGTGGGCGTGCGCGTGTCTCCACTGCGATACCGAACGGACGCTGTCTCACGCTCGAGTCCGGACCATCACTCTCCCGCTCGCTCTTTCAGCTTCAGTCTGGATGTCTCAGCTTCGATATTGCTATTGCAGGTTCGATGAGGAGATTGCAACCTGTATATCTCCTTTATGTATAGTTGATGTATCAATCTTGATCCATCAGTTTCGGACCACTTCTTCAGTCCTGCTCACGCTTTCTCAATGCTACCGTCGCTGTCGTGGTTTCGTATGTATGTTTGGGTGCACCCGCTCAGTTGTGGTCCTGATGTTTGTGTGCTCAGGTCGTTTGCTAACCTACTGAAGCCCTCTTTTCTTTCACGTTCATGACATGTGACGCCGACCTCTGCTGTGCCATGCAGGACTACACGCCCTGTCCGAGGAGTGGACGGACGCCAGCGGCGCGCTGCCGACAGAGCCACCTGTCGACGGCGAGGAGAACCAGCGCCGCAAAACGCTGACCGACAGGGATACCAACCCGATGGCGCACCGCAAGATCGGCGCCTCGCGCAAGCGACGCAGCGTGCTGTTCGAGACCGCCCTGTGAATGGTGGAGCCGTCTGCGACCCGCAGAGACGCCCCGAGGGGGGGGGGGACTCTGGAGCGCCGACCCAGGCCGACCTGTGGACGGTGGACGCCTGTGACTCGCAGGGACGCCCGGGGGGGGGGGGGGGGGGGTATGGAGCACAGACACGCGCCGGGAGTGTGGCCTGTAGACACAGCCGCGAAGGTCATCCGAGGAAGAGCCGGCCGGATCTGAAGGCTGACGGGCACCGGGAGGTGGACTGGGCCGCTGGCGGCGGTGCTGTGAGACGCGAGGAGGGTGATCTCGGAAACTAGTGTTGCGTAGTCTGTTCGGAGGATGAGATCTCCCACCGACCGCGTAGATGGGGTGAACACGCGGTGCGCGTGTGCTTGACACTCTGTTTTCCAGTGAGGCAGTCTATGCGTGGGGGTGTTGAATGTACATACGCTTACAGTGAGCACCTGGGATCAGAAGGGCTGGGGCGTTATGCTGGCGCTGGGGGCCAGGCTGTGCCCTGGCAGTCAGGCGTTGACGGGGAAACGTTGGGTGGTTGTCATGGTCCAGTTGGCGAATCTTTAGATGGTTAAGGAGGGATGCTTCGAGGAGACTGAGCTGGGGACGAACAATACGTATGGCCGGCGCGAAGCGACGAGTCCGTAATACGCATCGGCCGTGATGTACGCGTTGATAATCAGGTAGGATAGATGCCAAGAGGCAGTTGTCTTCTAGGCCCTGTCGTCTCAGCGATTTTCAAAGCCTCTCGTGTGTAAGAACGCCCCGCTCTGTTGACTCCGTTGCTGTAGGTTTTGTGTTATCACTTGGGATTTCAGCGTAATAATCTGTGGGAATTCGTAGCCGGCGCGTCGCCTGGGTGGATATTAGCGTGTGAAGACAGCCTTCCGAGATTTGCCGCTGAGGCTTGTGTGCATTTTATGGCGGGACTCAATAAATATAGCCGGGGGAATTCGATCACTGGACATGATTCGTAACGGCGGCAATGTTTGAATCCCGTTTAAACTCAAGAACGCCACGACTGGAACGTTCGGCATCAATGTCGCACTGAAGCTGACAGATGCAAAGACGGTGCCTCCGTTCTGCAGAGTACGATCCCGTTGATTGCTCGCGGCGAACGATAGGGCAGGTGATTATGCTGACTGCAGCCATGGAAGTCGGCTCCAAGTGTGCAGTTTTTTGTGTCGTGTCGCAAAACCATGGCGAGTTATATGCCTGCCTATCGCTATATGCAGATGGCTCGCCTTGGTACATACTGATACTACGGTGTCTGCGCCAAATGACAGCATGAAGCCCATCTAGCATGGCCCTTTTTTCGGTAGACTTCGGTCTCCGCACAGTGCTCGTTACCTTAACTGTCTCCGCCGAGTCTGTTTTGCGCTCGTCGCCCGTTAGTATGACGGAAAAGTCGCACACTTTGTACCCGTGCTGTCCCCATCCCAATGCTCGGGCATAACAGCATAGTACCGAGCATAAACCGGTTGCAGGCACCAACACCGGAGTCGTTAATCAAGTGCTTGCGTCCTCGAAAACCAGTCACCACGTACCGTTCGGTGATACCGTACTGTTTGTGGAGCGTAACGGCGCTGGCTGTGCCTGGATAGCTGCGTATGTGCTGAATTGCGCGGCATGCCACGCAGTTCGGTTTTCTCACACGTGAGCGGGCTGATGTCTCGATATCGGGGGGGGGGGGGAGGGGCGAGAAAAGGTTCGCTTCAAGCGGAAATGCTTGCTCCAGTGTGCTACATTGCAGCAGTCCGTGTCGAGCTTTAACGGTGAAATGTTGATCACTTTGATCGCGTCGCGAGCCATCTGCAGTGGTATGTACCAGCACGCTACCTGCTTCATATTTCAGTCAAGGCAATCTGCGCTAAATCTGGCCTCACTGACGTCATCTGAGCCGATGCACGCATCGCTATCGGACAACCCACCCGTCACGCCATGCCTCCGACGGACGGCACCCTGCCTGTCGGGGCGTCTCTGGGGCTGGCTGGCCGGCGAGACCGGCTGACACGCGTCTGCAGCCCCGCTCGTCGGACGCCAGGGGTGGACGGCCCTCCGCGACGACCAGGCCGCAGTGCCAACGCTCGGACGGGCGGCGAGTGCTGATGACGCGTGACACGGCACTACTTCTGGCGTGAGAGGGGCGCGGACGTCGCATGTCAGCAGCCGTGTCGTCGCGTGTCAGGAGCAGGAAGTGAGAGCGTGTCACCAAGAAGCGCGCGTGCCATCAGCCGGGCCGCGCCACACACCTCGCCGTTACATCACCGGCACAAATCGCACCATGTCAACACACCGCACGCTCACGGCCCTCGGCGTCTTCGCCAAACGGCGGCGCTGCGCCTGAGGGCCGGCGACTGCGCGGTTGCCTCCTACGCTGAAGGCCGGCGCGCCGCGGCCAGCTGGCGGCTGAGGCCCGACGTCACCGACGCCGACCGCGCGTCGATGCGGGCACGCAGACGCGGAGCGCGGCGCCGTCGCGACCGACGACCGACGCGGCGGCCGTCAGCGGGACGGACGCGGCGGTGTGTGGGCGTGCAGGGGTGCAGCGGCGAGAGCGCCAGCGGCCGCCATGTGCGACGTTAGCGGCTGCTCCAGCGAGGTGGGCAGCGTGAGTGACGACGGCCGAGACGCCATGCTGGGACATCCTGGCGAGTTCCAGCGGCTGTACCAGACGCGGATGGAGCTCTTGGAGCGGGACCCGGCGGCGCCTCCTCACAGCAAGGTCAGTTCCTTCCCGCCGCCCTCCCGGCGACCGGGAAGGTCTGGTGACACGAGCCGGCCTGGTTACGCCGTTGACGTCATGGTGGGCGGGCCGCAGGACAAACATTGCGAGTGCCTCAGCTTCTCGTTCGGGATAGCGCTCCCTTTGTTCGGGCTAGCCGCGGATTGAGGCTCAATGAGGATAGAAAAGCTGTTAAAGGCCGGGCAGGTCCATGGCTATTGTAAACCTGTCCTAACTTGGGGTGATCTTGTGACCGGGGAGGACAACACGCTCTGTTTTGACAACACTGTTCGACATCGCCGATGAGCCAGCAGTGGGAAATCTCTTTGTTATCGCTACGAGGCGAAGGCGGTGAATTTAGAGCTCCAACACTCTGGCTTGTGGTGTGGGTGGGTGTGTCTATCTTGGATGGTGCCGAGCGAGCGCTATC